CACCAAAGCAGCAGATGGCAGGGAAACCTGGGGGGAAAATACTGGTGGAGTGGCATCTTCAGGTGAGTGAGATCTGTGTGCCCACCAGAGTGGTCCCCGAAAGCCAGGGTTGGTGGTGACAGGGAAACAGGCGGCAGGTGGCTAGGGCCCCACAGAGCTGATTCTGAGCAGGAACTGGTGGCAGGGAGCTCACAGAGGACGTGGTGGGAGCCCCGAGGGGCTGCCCCCGCCACGCGCCCCCTGAGGACCTGGCCCAGGGCCAGGACCGTGTTCCCTCTCTGGGAGATGAGCACAGAGTCACGCACACAGCCCGCCCCCCCACCCCCACCCCGGGGCGCCCGGGGGAAGGAAACACGTGGGGAGGGCGGCCAGGGTCCGAAAGGGCAGAGAAGGGGCGCATTCCACGCCCCCTCCCCGCGCACACAGAGAATCCGCTACCCCAGGGCGGGGGGGCGGGGGGCACAGGACAGTCACTGGCACGTTCCGGGAACGGAAGCCAATCAGCCGAGACCAGATGGCACGTCCCGGGGTCCCCGTGCAGGGGTCTGCTTCTCCCGGTGCACTCGGGCTCCCCCAGCGTCTGGATCTCTGTGTCCCTTAGGTCCTAGCCACGACAGTCGCAGACTGGGACGCAAAGCTGCCACCCACCCAGAGGCACAAGTTACTGTCTTTGTCTTGACCCCGTGGACAGCGCCCCGGAGGATGCCCCGACCTGCCCCAACCCTCTCCGGCTCCGGGGGGTTCCGGGGCGCGCCTCCCACTCCACGAGGGGTGTGCCCCCTGCGGGGCCGGGGAACCCGGGGCTCTCACCTCTCTGCCAGGAAGTGTCCGGATGACTTTCTCCCCGTGTAGCCTGGGGCCGGGGCTCCGGGCAGCAGGAGCGCAGTGCAGGCGGCCCAGAGGAACAGTCCGGCCCACATGACCAGCGGTGGTGGGTCCCCGGTCCCCCGCTGGGCTCGGGCTCCGTGCACCAGGAGGGAGCCGCCGGCCCTCGCCCCTCCTCCTGGCGCGGAGGGGAGCAAACTAGCAGGCACCCGGAGCGGAGCGAGCCAGGGGGCTGAGGCCGCCGAGAGGAGGGGCCCGGGCCTGGGCAGGCAGACAGCTGGGGCGGGACTGGGGGTCCCCAGCACCCCCGCCCCCCCCAGCGGAACACACAAAAGGCAGCACTGCAGGCCTCTCCCCGCAGGCCAGGAACCTGGGGCGGGGGCAAAGATCAGGGACCCCTGGGGGCGGGGCTTCACCCTCCAGCCCACACCCCCTGCACACTTTGGGAGTCGGCTTCCTGCGAAGAGCTGAGGGAGGCAGACTGACGCCCTGATTGGAAAGACATTTCAGGAACAAGGCCAGGGCTGAACGCTGCGCGCCCCGCACGCCGAGCCACTGCCAGCCCCGTGGATGGAGCCTGGAGCCCGAGGCACCCACCCGGATGTCACCAGGTGAGAATATCCCTGTCTACCATGGCTGAACGCATGGATAGGTGGGGTCCCTCTATCTCAGGCCAGGGGGCACTAGCTGGCCTAGAACTTGCAGGCCACTTAGGCACCATGGGCAGGCTCCTGCTTTCCCTGAGATGAGGAAACAGCTGGGTAGCTGGAGCAACTGGGCAGTGGAGCCACGGAGGCAGAACGGGAAGGCTCCCCACTGCCCCCTTTTATAAAGGGCTGCAGAAGGATTGAAGCAGGAGAGTGATGGATCCAGAATTTACAGTTATCCTGCTGAGAAAAAGCTAAGGGGCAGGGGGTCAATTTTACCTTAGATGGGGAACAAGAATCTTTTCCCTACCTATCCAGACCCAGTTAGTCAAGTTTTTGTGTAAATAATGCCCAGGAATAAATGCCTCATTACTTGTTAACAAGTCTCCAACATGGATAGGCTCATCTTTCCCCCTCCACTGCCACTCACACACCTGTGCTCTGTGTTCCTCCTTCCTTGCCCTAGAAGTTATCCAAATCTCACTTCACACAGGACATTTCCTTCACCTGGATGTCATGGTTCATGCCATTTATCAGCCTCCAACACACATGGGCTAATGCCCCCGCCTTCATCCAGTAGAATTCACTCTGGTTTGTTCTGTATCACCACCACCCCCTCCCCACCCCCAATGGCAGGTGGACCCAGGAGATGCAGCTTGCACTTAAAATCCTCACCCAGTGGCCCAGCCTGTAATCCTAGCTACTAAGGGGACTGAGCTATAATTATAGGATCACAGTTGGAAGCTAGCTCAAGCTGGGTGCTGATGGCTCACGCCTGTAATCGTAGCTACTCAGGAGGCTGAGATCCGAGGACCGTGGTTCAAAGCCAGCCTAGGAAGGAAAAGTCTGAGACTCTCTCCAATTAACCACCAGAAAACTGGAAGTGGTGCTGTGGTAGAGCACTAGCCTTGAGCTGAAGGGCTCAGGGACAGTGCCCAGGCCAAGTTCAAGCCCCATGACCAAAAAAGAAAAAAACAAAAATCAGAAGCCAGCCCAGGCAATAGTCTGTGAGACTCTTATCTCCAATTAGCCAGCAGAAAGCCAAAAAGGCTCCCAAAAAGGAGAAGGGGTAGGGGTGGGGTCCAAGGTTTTCAGCACATTCTGGAGACAGACTAGGTAGGAAATTCCTGATGGGAATTTTGCACTGCTCTTGGCATTTCCTTCACTTTCCCTGTTTCCCAAACTTCTTGGAACCCACCTGGCCATTAACAGTTGGCTCCTTTGATTCCATTTTTGCTTTTTTTCCTTGTCTTCTTGTTTGGCCTAGGGATTTAGTTTGACTCTTGAGAATCTCTATCTTAACCTTAATTCATCTTCAAGGACTAGTTTAGGGATATCCCTTACTGAAGTTGCTGTAGTGTCCTCCTCATGTCTCTGGCTTGTGGCTTCTTAGTGACAAAAGGACCCTCCACTGAGAGCAAAGGATCCAAGTTATTGTTGGCTGCAGGATGCTGGCCTCTGGCTTGAGATCCTTCCAAATGGCCATGTGATGAGTCAGTGTTTCTATTCTCCCCAAGGTCCATTCATGCTGAGGCCTGGAGTGAGACTAGCTCATCAGCGCTTTCCTGTAGCACTGGCCAGCTGGAGCACTGGCTGGAGCAAGGCTCCAAAGACCTTTTACCCCTAGGAGGTGATTAATGCTTTTCAGAAGGGATGTGGGAGTGACAGAGGAATGTCAGCTTCTAAAGGGTTGCCAGAACTCAGCCCCCAGTCAGTGTGCCCCAGATTATAGGAAACAACAACAAAACAAACACTGCAAAACACTGCAAGGAATCTACAGCTTTCAGTAACAATATAGTAGGCCTCAGTGGCCAGAGGGTTTTACCACTGCAGAGCCCCTGAATGGCTGGACTTTGTGGTCTACACCTATAATGCAGCACTTGGAAGGCTGAAGCTGGATCTTGAGCTCGAAGCCAACCTAGGCTAGTGAGATCCTGTCTCACTAGTTAAACAAAGCACCATAATCATCACCCCTACCACATTCCTTTTGGTCTTGCTTGGCACCTTATAGTCAATACACTCTACTAGGATTACATTTTTTTTTGTTGTTGTTGAACTCTGGGCCTGGGTATTGTCCTCAGCTCGTCAGCTCAAGGCTTGAGTCTACCACTTGAACCACAGCACCACTTTCCGGTTTTCTAGTGGTTTACTGGAGATGTCTCAGGGTCTTTCCTGCCCCGGCTGACTTTCAACCTCAATCCTCAGATCTCAACCTCCTGAGTAGCTAGAATTATAGGCATGAGCCACCGATGCCCGGCTTAGGATTATAATTTTTAAAGAATCATAAACTGGGAGATGTTGCCTGCCTGCCTGCCTCATTAAGGCTGGTCTCTGGGGGCCAACCTCTTTCAAATCCAAGCCCTGACTCTTAAGAATTCAAATCAGTGTTGAGTTTCATATTTGAATGGTAGCTTTTCAATGTGTTGATTTTTTTTCTCTGAAGATCCTTATCTGACACCCTCAGAAATCCAAAAACAGTAAAGGAGAAAAGGGCAATAATTCACAAATGTCTCTGAGGAAGTAAACTTACTTAGAAAAACCCATGCCTTGCAAGCATGAGGCCCTTAGCACCACATCAACAGAAAAAGCTGGAAGTGGCGCTGTGGCTCCAGTGGTAGAGCGCTAGCCTTGAGCTGAAGAGCTGAAGAGCTGAGGGACAGCACCCAGACCCAGAGTTAAAGGCCCCATGACCAGCAAAAAAAAAAAAAAAAGAGCTCCTCCCAAAAGCTGAGATGATTGATTCCTTGAGCTTTCCTTTTCCTTTAAGCTATAGTCTCTCACAACCTAACTTAACATCATAATTTTCCTGACACCCTATCAAAAGCTGGTCTTAAAGGAGCCAGCAAATATGCCCAGGATCAACCCTGCAGGGACAAAGCAGCCTTTATTCCTAATGTGCCCACCCTGCCCTGCTGACAGATGACATGCTTTGTTTGCTGGTCCAAATGGTGAGCCTCATAGAGGCCACTGGAGCCAGGCGGCGGTGGCTCATGCCTGTAATCCTAGTTACTCAGGAGGCTGAGAGCTGAGGATCACGGTTCAAAGCCAGTCCAGGCAGGAAAGTCCGTGAGAGTCTTAGCTCCAATAAACCAATAGAAAACAGGAAGTGGCGCTGTGGCCCAAGCGGTAGAGTGCTCGCCTTGAGCTGAAGAGTGCGGGTATAGCACCCAAGCCCCACGACCAAAAAAAAAGGCCACTTGACTTCACTTGAGCTTACCAAGGGAAATGAGATGCAAATAAATGTGGCAAAAGGAAGTAGTGAGGTACACACGGAGCTGCTTAGTGGTCCAGGAGCAATGCTGGCTGCAAATGGGGACAGAAAAGGCAGCTCGCCAGGCCCCAGGACCAGTAGGTTACTAGCAGATGCTTTCAAAGAACCACTAGGAATATCACAAAAAATGAACTGGGCTGGAGGTGTGGCTCAGAGGTGTGGCCTCTTGAAGCAGAGGACACCTGCTTTGTGCATGTGAGCACGGAACCCACGATGCTGGAGAACTAGGTAGAGAACAGAAAGGCAGAACAAATGGATCTTTCTTCTTAGATTCTACTTTATTTGGTAAAACTCAGAAACTACCAACCAATTCACAGCCCCCACCTTCTCTGTGAAGAAGGGAGTTCCCCGAGACAAAAGGGCTGTGGCTTGGGGATCATCCACCATCCCAGGTTCCCACTCAGGCAGCCCATGACCTGACAGGCATCCAGGCTGATGTTCTCAGAGGCGAGAGAAGAAAGCAAAAGGAAGCTCATTTCATGACAATGAAACCCTCCTGACACTTCCCTGTGCCTTCACCTCCCCACACCCACAACCTAAATAAAAAGAGGACAAAGCATGAGTGTGAGACACACGTACACTCAGACACACACACACACACACACACACACACACACACACATACACACAGAGCTTCCTCACACACACACACACACAGAGCTTCCTTTCAGCCCAAGGGCTGCAGAATCCCTCCCCAGAAGGAGGACAACTGGCACACCAATCAAGACTTGGTGGTCCAAGGTGATGGCTGGAATCATATAAGACTGGTAAAAATCCAGGGAGAAAATACCCCACCTTCAGCCCATTCCCAAGTCTCCAGTGAACTGGTTTTAGTTCTAAGAAAGCCCCATTTCCACAAAGGTGAGCTGTGGCTTTCAGGGCAGCGGGCTTAAGGAAAAGCCTCCCATGGCCAAGAAGACAACGGTGGGAGAGGAAAGGGAGGGTGGAGGGCAGAACAGCAGAGCCTTCAGGGAGAGCAGGAAAGGAGCTCCCTGCCCTGGGCTAATGGATCCGAGTGAGCTCCTCCACAACCTTGATGAGGTCGTCAGCTGTGGCCTCTCGCTTCATACCACTGCCATCATCATACTGCAATGACAGGAAGGGAGGCCATGAGGGCAAGGGGGCACATGCCTTCGGTGGGATACAGAGATGCTCACTGGCCAGTACTACCAGAGAGAAAGGACTCACCAGAAACCCACTCTTGCCCCTTGGTACATATCCCTCCCCACAGAGCAATATCCCAACCTCCAGAACCACCCTACTTCCCACCTTCAGGTTTTACCAGAGATCTCTGAGATGTGCCTTTAGGGTAGAGTTCTGAGCACTATGCCTGGGACTTGGTACTGTGAGCCTAATGACACTGCCTTGCCTGTGCAGTAAGTACTGTGCAGGGCTGATGACTGCTCAGATCCAAGGAGAGGTACTGGGACCAGGCAGGCTCTGACCTTTGACCCCATCGGAGTGGCCCAGCCCCTCTGCTCACCTGTAGGTTTGCCACGACCTCTTGCATCTTGGGACGGCTAATATCCAAGAAACTCTCAATCAGGTCACCATCGATGAAGCCCGTAGCTGGCTCTGTCTTTCGCTCAGTGTGAAAGGATCTCCAGGTGGGCAGATGAGTTAAGGAAGGTGGCCTATCTGGAAACACCCTTACTCTCAATCATCCCTACCCTGAGCAGGACCCTGGTCTGTGGGGACTATCAAGATGGGAGGAGGAGGGCTGGGAAGTTGGCTCAGTGGTAGAGCGCTTGCCTTGCATGCATGAGGCCCTAGGTTCGATTCCTCAGCACCACATAAGCAAAAAGAAAAAAGCCGGAAGTGGCACTGTGGCTAAGTGGTAGAGCGTTAGCCTTGAGCTGAAGAGCTGAGGGACAGTGCCCAGGCCCAGAGTTCAGGCCCCACGACCGGACACCCCCCACCCAAAAAAAAAAAGATGGGAGGAGGAAATGACAGCTTCCTGAAGCCACTATTACTTTTGTCACTTGGGGAATTAAAAAAATGTATTGACAACCCAATGGTTCTCAACTAGGGTGATCTTTAAAAATGTTTTTAAAATACAGGTCAAATTATCAATGTAAAGTTCAGATGGATAGAAACTTTTTTTTTTTTTGGTCGGTTGTAGGGCTTGAACTCAGAGCCTGGGTACTGTCTCTGAGCTTTTTCATTCAAGGATAACATTCTACCACTTATAGCCATAGCACCACTCCCAGTTTTTTGGTGGTTAATTGGAGTCTCACCCGCCAGGGCTGGCTCTGAATTGTAATCCTCAGGTCTCAGTCTCGTGAGTAACTAGGATTCTAGGCACAAATCACTGGCACCCTGCAGATATAAACTTGAGCCACAGAGCCACTTCCCATTTTCTGGTGGTTAATTGGCCATAAAGACTCTCATGGACTTTCACTTGCCAAGCTGGCTTAATCATGATCCTCAGATCTCAGCCTCCTGAGTAGCTATTTTTTTTTTGGGGGGGGGGGTCCGCTTGTGAGGCCTGAATTCTGGGCCTGGGCATTGTCCCTCAGCTCTTCAGCTCAAGGCTAGCTCTCTACCATTTGAGCCACAGTGCCACTTCCGGCTTTTTTTTTATGTGGTGCTGAGGAATCGAACCCAGGGCCTCATACATGCAAGGCAAGCACTCTACCACTGAACCACCTTCCTGGCCCTTGAGTAGCTAATATTACAGGTATGAGCCACCAGTGCCCAGCTATAAACATTTTTTAAAAAGCACTTTTAGGAGAACCTGAAGAGAATCAGTCATCTAAGTCTTGCCCAAAAGATTCCTGGGTGAGGACTTTCCAAAAGGACTTGGGACTCTTGTGTCCCTAGACAGCTGACCCTTAAGCTTCTGGAATTGTACCTTCTACACAATGCTCTCCCCTGTTGTGCCCTTAGCAAGACCCAAGAAGCTGATCTCCCTCCTATACTGTAACCTGAGTTCCTGTCCAACATGCACCCAAGAAGCCAGAGGCAGAGCCAGCTCAGAAGTGGAAGGTACCTGTCTGTACATCCTAGGACAGACCAGCTGCCTGTATAGTCTACCAGTTGGGTGCTAAGTATGTGAGCATTTATTCTAATCTCCCTCTACCATTGTGTATGTTTTAAAATCTTCCAAACAGAAAAATTAAAAAGGAAAAAAACAAACGAACCTGTTCGGTCCACAAATCTAATCAAGCATTTCTGAAGACGCTGTGCAGGTTTGGGGATGCTTCCCAGCAGGGAGGCTCTGGGTGGGAAGGATATAAGGAGTGTTCGATCTTGCCCACACTTTTGATGACTTTATTGAGTCGGTTCTGCATGTCCAACAGGAGGTTGTACCAACTCTCTGACAGTGAGGTCACCAGCCCTGAAGAAGGAAGGGTGCAATGAGCTGCTGAGGGCAGAGTGCTCCAGAGCTGCAGCAAGTCCACCAGGTAAGCACCAAAAGGAGAATGCTGCAGCCTGTGGCAAACTCCTAGGTATCTATCTGTTCTTCTTCCCCAACCCTCCAAATGGTAGTCTCAGAAAGAAGGCCTGTGTGGGAGCATGCTCTGCAGGTGTATCCTTACCAATCATGCCATTGACTGTGCCAAAGAGCACTGAGCCCTGTGTAGGGGTAGAAGTCTCGCCCAGATTCTGCATAACCAGAGAGCCATGGCAGAAGACGTTGACAAATTCGCCCAGATGGAAGAGCCCAACCTCTTGTAGGTGCTGCCGTTCCTCGTCAGTAGTAGCAGCACTGCAAGGTGGACACACAGCACAGACGTGAATAGCATGTGTGCTGGGCATCCTGGAGAGCCTGCCTATGGGCTTTTTGATTCTCATGAAAGAAATGCTACTAATCAAAGAGCAACTGAGCTCCAGTCCTACACAACACAGGTCTGCCTCACCACTGTTCCTGTGGTGGTCACTCACCTGTCCTTCTGACAGACAAACAAGTTGAAGGCATTTTCAGCCCCCAGGAAATTGTCATCATCCAAGATTTCCACTGCACTCATCCAGTTGGGATTAAAATCTCGGGCAATCTTAAAAAGAGGCAAGGTGTGGTTAAAAAAAAACAAGTGAGCAGTTTGCATGAAATACAATTCTGGGACCTGTCTTTCTTTTATTAGAAGCCAAGTCCTATTCTGTCATTCTGTTAAACACAGGGTGACATCTAGAGATTCCTCCCTCCCAAATCTGACCAATGTAGGCCATCTGATTGCAATTTTCAGGACAAAATCTAATTGAGCTCAGGTTGAGGGTTCTTTAAAAAATACTTTACACAGAATGTGTCCCAAGGAAACACTTCTGCTCCCACTGGCCTTGATTATTCTTCCAATGAAATGCCTACAGGGTATTTAATCAGAAGTCTGTGTCCCCTACCTCTTCAAAGTTTCCCTCCATGGGCTTGTAGGCAAGCAGCAGCACTGAGCGCATGAGGTCACCTACAAGGATGAAGTCACCCTTGGTCTTCAGGTAGAGGGCCATGATGTTGTTGTAGTGATTGCACTCGGTGCGGAGCTCCTTCTCTGTGGTCCACTCATACAGCCGTACCTGGAAGATGGGTTAAAGTCAGCAGAGGTCCCAGTCCTCCAAGAATGACTAGCCCACTCAATTTTCCACCAAAGCACTGTTACCCACAGGGTCTGATGGATGGGGTTATAAGTGGTCTATGTAGTACTGGGAGGGACATTCTTTTTCTCAGTATTATATACTGATGATATAAGAAAACAGTAAGCACTAAACTGAGAATACAAAGTTCTCCTTTATATAAAAAAGGAGTCCAGGGCTAGGAAGGTAGCTCAGTGGTAGAGTGCTTGCTTCACATGCGTGAGGCCTTGGGTTTGATTCCTCAGCACCACATAAACAGAAAAAGCCGGAAGTGGCGCTGTAGCTCAAGTGGTAGAGTGCTAGCCTTGAGCTGAAGAGCTGAGGGACAGTGCCTAGGCCCAGAGTTTAAGACCCATGACCAACCAAAAAAAAAAAAAAAAAAGGAGTCCAGCCTATTGTCAGTGGTTCGTGCTTGTTATCCTAGCTACTCAGGAGGCTAAGATCGGAGGATCTGAGAATTGTAGTTGGAAGCCAGCCCTGGCTGACAAATCCCAAGAGACTATTATCGCCAATAAACTAACAAAATGCCAGAAGTAGAAATAGAGCTCAAGCACCAAATCACCAGCTTTGAGCAAAAAAGCTAAGAGAGAGCATAAGGCCAAAGAAATAATAATGCAGGTATAAAACTTGTATTAGTATTGTAAGTATAATACATTGCAAGAGTCTTTTTTTAACTTACATTTGGTAAAAGACCTACAGAAAAATCTCTAGAAAGAGAAGATCCATCTCCAATTCCCCGGTCAGAAAGGAACTGATGAACTCCTAACAAACTGCCTTTTCTCAACCTTTCCCAAAACATGCACATCCCTGGAACTTTTTTATATGAACCTAGCAAGTAAACAACGGGAAAGTAACAGAAACATTGCTGGGAACTAAAGGAATCTGAAGAACTAGCTTCTGTGGACACCCCACTGCCCACAAGAGGATAAAAGAAACACTATCCCCCTTTCACTACAATTCTTCTTGAATCAACCACATCTCTAAAAGAACAAAGAGGCCTTCTAACCAGTGGACAGGTGGAAGTATTCGGCACTGCCCACTGCTCAGGCAGACAAACACAATATGTCTGACTAGACAGGCTGTCCAGGCCCAGGTCATTCAGCCATGGCCACTGCATATCTAAACTTGTAGGCACAATGCAGTAAGCCAAGATTTTTCAAAGATATATTCAAGGAACCCCAGCTCCACACATTATTCACCAAGAGGGACTAATAATAATGTTTATAATCCTAGCTACTCAGCTACTCAGGAATCTGAGATTTGAGTTTTAAGCCAACCTGCACATGAAAGTTCATTAAGACCCGCATCTCTAATAAAATATCCAAAAAGCCAGAAGTGGAACTGTGGCTCAAGTGGTAGAGCATCAAACTTGGGCAAAGCAGCTCACGGGCAACACCCAGGCCCTGAGTTCAAGCCTCAGTACTGTCACCTCTCCCCGCCACCGCCGCCACACACACAAAAGAATTAAGAATTAGGTCCAACACACCTCCATCAGCAGAGTTCCTTTTGAGCATCTGATCTTCAACCTTAACCCTTCTGTGCCTCTACTCCTCCAATGACTGGAGTAAAGAAACTACCTCAGCCATTTGCTCCTGCCAACACCATCTCCCTCTCTATACTCTGTGTCCCATTCACCATCACCATGGAGACAGTCAAGATCAAGCTCACTATCACTAAATGTCCAATTCTCATTCTTTCCCATAAAGACTCCAGATCTAATTATTGCCACATGTGGCTACAAAACACCTGAAACGTGGTTACTCCAGGTTGAGAAGTGCTATGAGTATAAAAATCACAGATTTTAATCTTAACAAGAAAAAAGTCTCATTAATAGTGTTTAAACTGATTGCACGGCTGGGTGCTGGTGGCTCACAACCTGCAATCCTAGCTGCTCAGGAGGTTGGGATCTGAGGATCACGGTTCAAAGCCAGACCAAGTAAGAAAGTCCATGAAATTTTTTTTTTTGGGGTCCAGTCGTGGGCCTGAACTCTGGGCCTGGGCGCTGTCCCTCAGCTCTTCAGCTCAAGGCTAGTGCTCTACCACTTGAGCCACAGCACCACTTCCAGCTTTTTTTTTTCTTTTTGCTTAAGTGGTGCTGAGGAATCGAACCCAGGGCCTCAAGCATGCAAGGCAAGCACTCTACCACTGAGCCACCTTCCCAGCCACAGTCCATGAAATTTTTATCTCGAGTTAACCACCAGAAAAGGTTCTATAGCTCAAAGTGGTAGAGTATCAATCATCCTTGAGCAAAAGAACTCAGGAACAGCACTCAGGCCCTGAGTTCAAGCCACATGACTGAAAAAAATGTTTTTAAATTTCATGTTGAAATAATGTTTTAAATATCTCTTGTTATAGGCTGGGAAGGTGGCTCAGTGGTAGAGCACTTGCCTTGCATGCATCAGGCCCTGGATTCGATTCCTCAGCACCACATAAGCAAAAAGAAAAAAGCCAGAAGTGGCGCTGTGGCTCAAGTGGTAGAGCGCTAGCCCTGAGCTGAAGAGCTGAGGGACTACGCCCAGGCCCAGAGTTCAGGCCTCACGACTGGACCCCCCCACCAAAAAAAAAAAAATCTCATGTTAAAATGCATTATTAGGCTGGGAATGTGGCTTAGTTGGTAGAGTGCTTGCCTAGCATGCATGGAGCCCTGGGTTTGATTCCTCAGTACCACATAAGCAGAAAAGGCTGGAAGTGGCACTGTAGCTCAAGTGGTAGAGCGCTAGCCTTGAGCTAAAGAAGCTCAGGGACAGTGCTCAGACCCTGAGTTCAACCAGGACACACACACACACACTTAAAATCAGGGACAGTGCTCAGACCCTGAGTTTAACCAGGATACACACACACACTTAAAATCAGGGACAGTGCTCAGACCCTGAGTTCAACCAGGACACACACACACATACACACACACACACACACACACACACAATCCCAGACCCTGAGTTCAACCAGGACACACACACACACACACACACACACACACACAATCCCAGACCCTGAGTTCAACCAGGACACACACACACACGCACGCACGCACACGCACTTCAAATCAATTTTATTTGTTTGGATTTGGGTGGTACTAAAATTTTAACTTGGGGCCTTGCACTTACCAGACAGGAGCCACACCTGAACTGGTTATTTTTGAGATAAGGGCTCCTATTCTGCATAGGTGAATGCCTGGCCCACAATTCACCTAGAAGGCAGGGATGCACCAGCACCTCGGGTTGAGAGGGAGTCTCTTGGACTTTTGTCTGGTTGGCCTGTAACTTTATCTTACCTCCTTACATAGCTGGGATATGTGTGCACTAAAAACAACCAAAAAGAAGTTGAGAAGACTTTTCTGCATCAACTGGCCTCAAACTTCAAACCTCCCTGGTAGTCTGGATTATAGATGAGCCACTAGTCAGGTCCATCTGCTTTTTAACATTAATGGGTGGCTACTGGGGGGGGGGGGGGTGGCAGAGAGAGTCAAACTATTACATTTAAGTATATATAGTCAAACTGGGGATTCAATCAAGGGTAGAGTGCTTCCCTAGAATAGAATATGCAAGGTTCTGGGCTTGATTCCCAACACTGAACACACACAGCTCTAGGAAACAAGAGAAATGCTCTGCAGACAGTGGTGTGCCACCTGAAGTACAATCCCACAAGGTGTGGCCTCACCGTGCTGTTGATGCTGGCAAGGAGCTTCCCGTTAAACTCCACCATAGAATACACAGCGCCTTTCACTTCCTTTTCAGCCACAGTCTGTAGTTTTCCTAGGGGAAGAGGAAGAGGGAAGAGATATTTTTTCAGTTTTTTTCTATGAGCCCACATTTTATCTAGTCAAGAGTCCCCTGGTTGCCCTTTTGGCTTTAATTCATGCCTCCTGAACTCTCATTGGAAAATCAAGAAATACAGTCAAATATACACTGAGGTGAAACACCACTCAGGGCTGGGGAATGTCCAGCCCATGAGCTATTCAAGGCCCAAGAAATCATTTGGTACATGACAGGACACATACGCATGTTTGTTTTTTACGCAGTCATGGGGCTTGAACTCAGGGCCTAGGGGCTGTCTTTTTGTACTTTTTTTTGTGTGTTTATTTTCCATCCTTCCCCCCCTCCTTTTGTACTTTTGCTCAAGGCTAGTACTGTACACTTTGAGACACAGCTCCATTTCCAGTTTTTGAGTGGTTAATTAGAAGCAAGAGTCTCACAGGGACTTTTCAACCCAGGCTGGCTTTGATCTCAGCCTCCTAAGTAGCTAGGCATGAGCTACCAGTGCCTGGTGCCATACATGTTTTGGTTTTTTGTTTTTTGCCAGTCCTGGGGCTTGAATTCAGGGCCTAGGCACTGTCCCTGAGCTTCTTCTGCTCAAGGCTAGTGCTCTACCACTTGAGCCACAGCACCACTTCTGTTTTTTTCTGTGTATGTTATACTAAAGAATCGAACCCAGGGCTTCATGCATGCTACCACTAGCCACATTCTCAGCCTCAACCACACATATTTTTTGTATACTTCTTGCCAGGTGCCTGTAGTGGATACCTATACTAATTTTGTGTGTGTGCCGGTCTTGGGGCTTTAACTTAGGGCCTGGGCACTGTCTCTGAGCTTCTTTTGTACAAAGCTAGCATTCTACCACCTGAGCCACAGTTCTACTCCTAGACTTTTTGGTAATTAGCTTGGTGGAGATAAGAGTCTCATAGACTTCCCTACCAGGGCTGGCTTTAAACCACAATCCTCAGATCTCAGCCTCCTAGGTAGCTAGTATTATAGGTGTGAGCCACCGGAGCCTGACTGGTACTAATTTTTTATGGTCCTTGGGAGTTATAAATATCCAAATGGCCCTTGGCAGTAAAAAGTTCCTCATCCCTCATACTAAAGCATGAACCACAAACTATAAGACAATGTGAGGTGATTCCAGGAGGTCGCAAGACCTGTCTTTCCCCTGTCAGCTTCAGATCTATTCTTTAAGGAGGACACCAAATCCCTTCTAAGACCTCTGATATGAGACCTATGGATGACAACTAGTCTTTAGATCCACATCTTTTCTTGGGTGAGAAGAGAAAGAGTTCTAAGTGCTAAAGCTGTAAAAAGCCCAATGCCTGAGCAGTCCAGTAGAAACAAATGGAGAACTCATTTTGTTTTGGAGTACTGGGTTTGTTTTTTTGGTGGGTCATGGGGCCTGAACTCTGGGCCTGGGTGCTGTCCCTCAGCTCTTCAGCTCAAGGCTAGCAGTCTACCACTTGAGCCACAGCACCAGTTCCGGTTTTCTGGTGGTTTATTGGAGATAAGAGTCTCACAGACTTTCCTGCCCCAGCCAGCTTTGAACTGTGATTCTCAGATCTCAGCCTCTACAGGTGTGAGCCATCTGCGCCCAGCAGGAATACCAGGATTTAACTCAGGGTCTCAAGCTTGCAGATGTTCTACCACTTGAGCCATACCCCCAACTCCTTTTTGCTTATTTTTTAGGTATAGTCATTAATATTTTACATGAGGACAGCACTGCACTATGATCTTTCTACCTCTGCCTCCCACATAGCTGGTATGACAGGCATATAACACAGTTAGCTGGATTGCTGAGATGGGGGGGTCTCAATTTTGGAGGTCCTCAAACCACAATCCTCTTCATCTGAGTCTCTCAATGGAGTGGTTTACAGGAATATGCCCCAAATATAAATCACAACCATATTCTGACTACTAGATTCTTTCACCCATTGTTCAACACTCTTTTCTTCTGCCTTTCAAAGAGAAAACAAAACAGCAACAACAAAAAAACCTGCTCACCTACTCCAAAACTCAACTAACAGATTAAAGGGAAGTACAGAATATATTTTTTTTTTGGGGGGGGTCCGGTCATGGGGCCTGAACTCTGGGCCTGGGCGCTGTCCCTCAGCCCTTCAGCTCAAGGCTAGCACTCTACCACTTGAGCCACAGCGCCACTTCCGGCTTTTTTCTTTTTGCTTATGTGGTGCTGAAGAATCGAACCCAGGGCCTCAGGCATGCAAGGCAAGCACTCTACCACTGAGCCATCTTCCCAGCCCAGTCCCAGTATTTTTTGATTTATACCTTTTCTTATTATATGTGAGCACTGTTCCCTGCCTAGTCATATCCTTTGCCAATTTGGGAACCGAAATTTGGTGCTCTTCTAGATGTTTTATAAATTAAAAAATGAGTGCTTGGGCTGGGTGCCGGTGGCTTACACCTATAATCCTAGCTACTCAGGAGGCTGAGATCTGAGGATTGTGGTTTGAAGCCAGCCCAGGCAGAAAAGCCTGACACTTATCTTCAATAAACTACTCAGAAAAAAACAAGTGGAGGTGTGGCTCAAGTGGTAGAGCACCTGGCCAGGCCCAAGGTTCAAGTCCCAGGACTGGCCAAAAAAAGTGTGCTTGGTATACCCATTTAAAAGTTCTGGGCTTGTGTCTGTAAGATGAATTGCAACTAGTTTATTCAGTCCATCATGTCTTCTGAATTAGCTAACAGTGTTCCCTTATATAAACATTAAGCTTCTCTCACAATACTCAGGTGTTTGGGAGGTTGCTTTTTTTTGGTCGGCTGGGGGCCTAGGCGCTGTCCCTCAGCTCTTCAGCCCAAGGTGAGCACTCTACAACTTGAACCACAGCGCCACTTCCAGTTTTCTGGTTGTTAATTGGAGATAAGTTTCACAGCCTTTCCTGCCTCGGCTACCTTTGAATTGCAATCCTCAGATTACAGTCTCCTGAGTAGTTAGGATTACAGGTATGAGCCACCTTGCTCAGCTTCCAATATTCAGGTTTTATCAAGAGTATTTTTTATGTTTTCTTTTGTACTATTTTAAAATATGCTTAAGTTTCTACATATAATTTATCATTATGGGTTATCCTGTTCTTCATTTATCTGTTTTCTACTAGCTCCTATCAACATGCCTTCACAACACGTAACAAAGTCAAAGGCCAAAGTCACAAAAGTAAAATCTGCATCTTTTGTCTACCAAAAGGCTACCTTTGATGCCTGGTAAGTCAATGCTGGCATGCTCATGGATTCCAATTCCATTCCGGATGATCCTCAAGGAACCTTCCTTGAAGGCCCCAGAGCAAGTGACCAGCTGCAAGTAGAAAAAAGGTTTCTCAATACCCTGTTCAGGAAATTTAGGCAGCCCTAATTCCCCGGACCCTCACTGGAACTAAATTTGAGGATGCAGACCCAGCAGAGGTTGATTTCCAAAGGCCTTTGGCTTTACCAAGCAGATAGGATGTTCTAGTCAAGAAACAAAATCTCCTATCAGTGTTCCTAGTAAACTTACTTAGATACTGGAACCTCGTTTACTAGAAAAAACACAGGATCTGGCTATTTATTAGATTACTATGGGCAAATGACTCTTAGTTCCCAGCTGGATAGCCAAGAATCATTCTAACAGTACTTGTGGGATTACAGATTGCGTGACTGTGATTGTGTGTATGTGTGTGTGTGTCACAGTTCTCCTATATCGCTAGGATTGGGGAACAAGGGTCTTAAAAGTACATTCAGTGTGTATTCCCCATTCTAGATAAGCCAGACAAGGCAGACAATTTGAACAGGTATCAATCAGGCATTTCCACATGACCCTCTTACCTGCCCCTGCCCCTGTCTCTCCAGATCCACCACACACATATCCACAATGGGTCCTAAATTGGTAAAGGTTTCCATGGCCACAACATAGGAGCCTTGCTCATTGCTATCAACATTGAGCTTAAAAAGAAAGAACAATGTTAGTCCCACAATGCCCCTAAAAGACTAACCCTAAAGAGATGTATATCATTCTCAAGCAAATTTCCATCCTGCTAGCTCTGTCCCCTTCTTACGCTTTAAGATGCTTCTAAAAGGGAACTACTGACTAAGGAACATGATTATTTCCACAATGGACCTACTAACCAGTCAGCAAGTTCTAACCTAGAGTCCCATGCATGGGTTCAGAGAAACAGTAGCTTCTTAAAAACTAGTGCAAAATGTGTTTTTCTATACATAAAGTCCAGAGTTTTCATATTCTAAAGGGGAAAGTTCCATCACTTTAGACTATGATCTACCTGAGGGTGGAAGCTGGGTATTATTCATCATTAAATTCACAGCAACTCTCACCTTACCTTGCCTGGCACATTTGCCGAAGAACCATTAAGACAAAGAGCTGGTCAGGGATAAGATGCAGATAAACTGGAGATTATGAGGCATAAAACACAGAAGCAATCTGTGAAGAAACATGAGGAAAAGAAGCCAGAAACAAGATGTCTCCTCACCTTCACAAGCTGGGAGTCACCAAGGCGAGACCCAACAAACACCACCCCATTATCCAGGTACGTCAGGCACTCGGCAATGGAGGTCTGGAAAAAAATTGGCACATAAGCGAAATCAAACTGGACCCTACATGGACTTTGACACACAGGGCAGACTCCAGAGGTGTACCACCAAATGTCCATTTCCAGATGACCCCTTTCCTACCCCTGCCCTGCTTCTGCCACCTGCTGACAATCCTCTGCAGCCATTTTAAATCCTCAGGTCACACTAAGCAACTGTCCCTGAAGTTCATGATTCTCTGTGAACCATATTCCTTCAGTCAGAAAAATCTAAGACTTACCTTGCATATGCCTTCTACAAACAACAACTTTAATCTCAATGTCAATACTTCCAGGCAAAAATAATTAGGAATTTCTAAAGGTCACTGCATAAGTATTGTTTGTTAGAAACAAACTTCAATTCCAAATTGTATTATTGTTTTCTTACCTCTCCTGCCTTTTCTTGGGTTCTTGAGTATCACACTATACAGCTGGACTCAGCTCCCAAATGCTGACATAACTGGCATATACCACCATTCCTAGCTGTTTCCCTTACTTTATATCCCCACAACCTATGGATTCTTACATCTAAGCCATTGAAAATTCAACCTCCACAAAATGATCAACAGCCAAACAACATAATTCCCAGAGTAGTATTGTGGAACTACACACCTAAGATCACTAGACAGCTCAAATGAGGCACAGGAGCAGGGACAAGCCCTACCTCTCCAAGGAGTTCTACACGGAGATCCTTGAGTGTGACAGTGCCATCCATTTGCTCCTCCTTCTCCAACAGCAGCATGAAAAGCCGTCCTTCCATGTCTCCCAGCAGGTATCTGGAACCATTAGGGTCCACACGATTGTGGCACACAATTGTGCTTTGCTGCCAAGCATGAGGGCACAGTAATTATGGTCAGCATCTTCCAAATAAGAAAGTAAACCCTGGCAGCCATGCTCTTCACCAAACCCAGCTAATTCACTGGCAATGAATTCAATCATGTATGGACAAGAGAGACAGTGGGCAGACTTTACTATGAAAGCAATTTTCAAAACAGCCTTAAAAAAGAAGCAATTTTCAAAATGCCTTAAGCGTTATCTCACCCATTATTCTATGGAAAACAAAAACCATGTAGAAATCTGGCAGCTGGGGAGAGAGCTCAGTGTCAGTTGCCTAGCAAGCACAAGGTCCTAGATGATATATATACACCTATGTGCACGCACACGTACAAACACGCACATACACACACACACACACACACGCAGGTACATATACATGGCAGATGGGAAAAGAAGCACTTATAACTGTTCCATTAGAAATAGGTTTGCCAGTGGCTCAGGTCTATAATCTCATAATCAGGAGGCTAAGATCTGAGAACAGCAGTTTGATGCCAACCCAGGAAGGAAAGCCCATGAGGTTCTCATCTCCAATCAGCCAGCAAAAAGCAGGAAGTAGAGCTCAAGTAGTAGAGTGCTAGCTAAAGACAACACCTAGGCCCTGAGTTCAAGCCCCAGGATTGATGTGTGTGTATATGTGTATACATATACACATGTGTGCACACACACAGCTACAACAAGCATCCACTAGACCATGAATGCCAGCACAGGTTTTGTTACTTATCCACACTATGACTCCTCATTTCCTACTACTAATGCTACCAGTTTTACTCTTTATTCTCAATAAATACAAGTAAAATGAAGCTTTGGAGGTTTTTCATGACCCAATTTGAAGCTTGAAATTTTCATGACTAATTTTTAAATGTCTTTATAAAAGCTACATAATTTATCGCTATATTAGCTGTCTTGAGAGCATGAGAGAGTGCTAAAACTATGTTTAATAAACTTTCCTCCTTTTTTGGTGCTGGGGACCAAACCTAGAGCCTCATGAATGCTAGGCAAGGTACTCTTACCATCAAGCTATATTCACACCCCAAATCTCCCTTTCGTTAAGTTGTCCCTAACAATGTTTCAAAAGGATCAATCTACTTTGACTGCAAGCAAGACATTGTACAGAAAACCAGGCTGATCTGCGTGCCCCATAAAAAACCAGTGTTTTTTGCACAATGTCTATATAGTGTGACAGACATCTGTGATTCTCCTAACAATTGAAGAGAAAGAGGGAAGTAAGATAAGATTAAGATAAAGGAAAATGTAAAAACTATTGCTCACCTTGATGATAGGAGGTGCAATCGCCAGGTATTTGTCACCATTATGATAGGTGATGGACTCCTGTCCAATGATGATGGCCCCTCCAAAGGGTTCTGGGACTGCAAGGGAGAGACAGCAACATTAGAAGGCTCAGCACTTTGGACATACCAAAGCAGAGGCAGCAAGGACACTGATCAAATTAACTTGGAGGCAAACTTTAAGGTAATCATTATTTTATAAAGGCTATCAAAGCCCAAGAGACTGATCTTAGAAATTTTAGACTAGTTGAGGTGGGAAGGTGGCTCAGTGGTAGAGTGCTTGCCTTGCATGCATGAGGCCCTGGGTTCGATTCCTCAGCACCACATAAGCAAAAAGAAAAAAGCC